CAGGATTTCCTCTCATTGCACTCCGTTCAAAGGAGATCACTCGATTCTACGAACGACAAACGCCATTGTCCAGTTGATCGAGTTCTTGTCTCTCTCTTTTTTCCAATCTTTGCGACTGAATCGAGACATTTCGAGCTTTCTTCGCATTTTCCGTGACACAAGTTTTCGCAAGTTGGGAAAAACGAAAGGAGAATTTCACCTCGATATTTTTCAAATCTGTACGATCGTCGTGATCTTCTCGGTTAAGGGCTCCCAGAGGAGTCCTCGAGAGGAGAGAGACGAATGAGAATAGCGGCTGGACACGGCAGCACGCGTTACTTATCGGCCCCCTTCATGGATCGGATCCATCAAGTCGCGTGATAAGCGCAACTACCGGTTATAACAATCGACGTGGAACACGTCTCTTTACGATTATCGCCGGCAGCATTTCAGGGATAAGTCGTTTCCGCGATTTTCTGCAATTGATATTTTTTTCCACCCCCCCCCGCCCCCAGAGTTTCACGCTTCTCCAATTGGTAAAAACATCGTCGATGAGACGATTTTTTCTTTCAACAATAATTTCTTCTCAGTTTTTCTTTCTTTTTTTTTTTGATTTTTGAAAGTTGAAATTTCCAATTCTCTAGCGAATTTCTTCTCGTTCAAAGTTCTCTTCTCTATCGAGTCGCGAAAGTCTTGAGATTTGGTCTCTGTTAATTTCGGCTTGATCCTTGCTTCTCGAGGTTCAGGCTTGCCGATGCAAAATTCATCGAGTTGTCATCACACTCTCTCCAGATTTCTCTATTTGTCTCTTTGTTTCCGATCTTGAGATTCGACTTAACTACGGCTCCCTTTATTTCCTGGTCCTTTTTATCCCTTTCAGGTTCGAATTTGGAATTTCGTTTATTCGCAGCATTGATCGAACTGATGCGTGCAATGTGAACGTGAAGCAGAAGTTTTACTGAAAACGCGATACTGATTTGTCGTTTTAATAAAATTTTGTTAGCTTCATTGATCTTCCTCTATTACTCTGAAACAAATATAATATTTTATTTAAACGTTTATATTCGCACAAGAGAAACATAGCGTTCGCTACCAGTTACAATCAGAAAAGTTCAATGTCAAGGAGAGACCATTTCGAAATTTTATTTGCCGATAATTCTTTCCCGATTGTTTCTGCAGAAATTAGGCAAACTTACGGGCGATAGATCGACTCACACATCCACTATCTCCTCGTTTCATTTCAAAGTTTTCGCCTTTAGACCTCTATCGAAGTTGTTCCCTGAAACAAAATGGAAAACACAGGTGCGGATTTCCAATTTCGGACAATCTTATTTTTTCTCTATGTTTACCTCTGCCTTGCGCTTCGAAGTAAACGCCGATCTTCTTAGTCTCAAACTCTCTCTCTCTGTCTCATGTTTTTCGTCGATCGAGCACAGTGGACAAAGTCCAGTCTTCTTCGAGCACTTTGCGTGTTCAGTTTAAACCGTCGTCGTCGACTGGACGAAATCTACCGAATCGAGACTCGATTGACAATTTGACGTTTTTCGCCAGGGTATGCAGGCGAAAGGAAGTCTTCTCAAGCGAAGTGTAAAGGGCCGACTGTGGCGTGGTTCATTTTCGGCGTGTGACGAAGAAGAGGGTTTTCGCGACCGGTGCGCTGCTTTGGGAAGCAGCTGGCGCGCACTGCACACGACAGTGACCACCATGGAAGCCATACACCTCCAGCCCTCTCCCCCTTCTAAACGTATTACACGTTTCAGTCACGTTGAGGTCTGCAGCCATTTAAGCGGCCCATGGCACGGTCTAATTGACAGTCGGTGGCCTCTCTCTCTCTCTCTCTCTATTTTTCTTTCTCTTTCCCTTGACGAGGCAGCAAGACAGAAGGTACCATCCCTCCATTCCTCTTTCGCGGATGATCGAAAGCGACAGCGAAACGAAAGAGTAACCCAGTTCCGGGGATCCGTGTCGATGTCCTGCTGGTGCACGGTTACGCATCCACGTTGTTGTTGAGTTGAGTCATACGTTCTTATCATCGAACGGCCAGGTTAATTCGTTGTTCTTTTGAACTTTCGGGCTTCTGCTCGATTGGTAACAGGGCGTGGAATTTCTGACTTTTTTACTCGTTGGCCAGTATTAATTAAAAAATATATTATTTTGTTATATAAATTTTAAAAAATTTATTTTTTATATATACATGTATAGAACTTTAATTTTGTGGTTACTATTTAAAATTTTATTTTTATTATTAAAATAGCAGTTGTAGTATAAATAGGATAATTAATTTAATTCGAGTATATAGTATTTTTTGTTATAAAATTTATATATATATGAATAAAATTTTAATTTTGTGGTTATTATTTAAAATTTTATTTTTATAATTAAAATAGCAGTTGTAGTATAAATAGGATAATTAATTTATTTTGAGTATATAGTATTTTTTGTTATAAAATTTATATATATATATATATATGTATTAAATATATAAATAAAATTTTAATTTTGTGGTTATTATTTAAAATTTTATTTATCATTGAAACAGAGTACTAAATTTAATTTAAATACTTAAATAGAATTTTTGTATTACGAAATTTCAAATATATACCAAATATATGAATAAAATTTTAATTCTATGGTCACTATTTAAAGTTTTAGGAGTTGCAGTATAAACAAAGTGATTAATTTAATTTCAATGTACAGGATTTTTTTGTTACAAAATTTTAAATGCAAGATAGTACAGATCTTCAGAATTTTTCGATTCACTGTTGGGGGGTACGAGAATTTTAGCGTTTAAAAAAGTTTTCTATTTGAGAGATGTTCTGACTTTTATTTTTTGGGAATTTCTACGAGAAATTCGGGAGATTTGGTTCAATGGGGAGAAACGGGGATTTCTAAGGAGCACAAACTTTTGTCTTTTGATTTCCTTTCCCTCATTTGCAGAGCGAGATTAAAGTTGATTCTTGACGAATACGAATTCTCGCCTTGATTTTCAATTCCCACGGTTGGAATGAAATCTAGCAGAGGCAGAAATTTCTATCCCCTCGGGGCTTTCTTTCTTTCTGTCGAGCAGTCGAATTTTTAAAATGTAGAAATTTCAACGCGGAACACGGATAGATCAGCATTTTGAAATGTAGACATTTGAAACAGTTTTATAAATGAAGGACTAACGTTCTAAAATAACCGAGATTTTGATCAGAAGTTTTTTTGAACAAGTTTTCTTCTCTTTATTAAAAGTTAAAATCAGAAATATTTCGTTTCTTTTGCTTTCCTTAATTTTA